CCATGTTAATGCAGGAAACCTTTATACAGGCCTGAATGATCTCAACTAATTTCGAAACGATTTTCCAAACTTCAAAGAAATAAAACAGACACAATGAAATGGTAACACAGTCGAACCTCGATTATCCGGACCTCGATTATCCGGACTTTTTTTCTGGTCCCAGTTTGGTCATGAATATTTATTAGCCACGAACAAGATCCGCAGCCATATCCTTTTGAAAACTACAGCATTGAAAAGTGCAGTCCAATGCGAGGACAAGAAACGGAATCCCCGCGTAAAAAAGGGTAAATAGAAGATCAACATTTTCAGTTATACTTCAGGCAAGTAGTTCAATCTGTCAAAGTTTAAGGTTGTTGAACGCTAACAATCTTACTAACACATCAACATGAGCTTATATAACGTTTCCAGTTTCTTTGAGGGTAGACCATGATAGGTATTGATAGCCTTCGCAATTAATAAAGGCTGGTAATTGTTTTCATAACAGTAGCGTTGACGTCTAACTTGAAAATCAGAAGATTAGGAATATTCTGTGGAATGATTAACACAAAAAGCAGAGTTTTATTATGTGATTGAGCGCTCGCTTAAAGATACGAGGAATATAATGTGCAGTGACCGCAATCAATCGCAATCTTAAAACAGTGGTAGGTAAGTCTGTTCGCAAAAGCCGGAAAAAAATGGGATTTTGCACAATAACTCTAAAAATGGAGTAAAACATTTAAGTACAGGATAACCCCTTTTTAGGGGTTACTTTAACTCCTAATTTAACTCCAAATTTGCGGTCATTCTTACTTCTGAAAAAGAGTTCCTTTCTGAATGGGTTGTTTTTACTCTTTTTGGAGTTAATTTAACTCTGAAAGTGAAGTAAAACTTTTAGGTACAGGATAACTCCTTTTTGGGGGTTATTTTAACTCCTCAATATCTGGGGTCACTATTACTCCTGAAAAAGAGTTCTTTAAACTCCTTTTTGGAGTTAAAATAACTTCCCAAAAAATAACTCCACTGTAAGGAGTTAAATTAGCCCCACTAGAGGAGTTGGAAATTACTGTGCACGAATTTGAAAAAGGTTTGAAAGGGGAATGTAGCATATTTCTAGCCCTGATTAATACCTTCAAGTTGGTGGAGTAAAATTATGTTATAGGCTGTTTGTGTTATTTGGGACCAAAGATCACAGTGTAACTAAGTCTGCTTTTTTACGTTCTGGAATTATATTTATCCACTTCGAAGCTGTAAGGAAACGCATGCATTGTGTTAATTAGAATGTAAACTATTGGTATGTGAAATGTCTAAAATTGCTAAATGATAAAGAAAAACGATTTTTCTTGGCGGAATTTTGTACTGCGGTGACATCTTTCAAGGCACTTGAGTGCATCGAAAACTGTCAAGCACTTCAGGTGTTCTTTACCAATTCATACTGTAATGCATTACCACTGCTACCTGTAGTGCGCGCGGCAAGCAAGTTTAGAAGAAAGCTTCTTAACGGGAATTCTATCCATACTTACGGATTTATTCGAAGGCGGTTGTAATTTACCTTTCATTATTTTAATCCAGTTAGGAGGAATTGCTTTGCATAAACCGTAGTAGGTAAGAAAATTAGTTTTAAGACCAAAATAAGAGCAGAAGTCTTGGTGAGATAGAAAGGTATTGCCGTTGAAGAGATCTCCAATTTTTTCAACACCCGCTGCATGCCATGCTTTGTAGTATACTGAATAATTGTTGATCCTAATAAAGCGGTTGTTCCATAAGATTTCATTCAGTATTTCTTCTTTTGAGGAGGGAGTGAACGAATTTATGGATTGCCAGGCCAACAAGGCTTTCTCGTAAAAGATCAATGGAATGTGTATGTTAAGATGTTTAAGTTCAAAGTTACATTTAAGGAGAAAGAGACCACCGACTCGCTCTAGCAGGGAAACAGGAATGTGAGTCCAACTCGCGGTGGGATGACAGCTGTCTAGTCTTCTGATCCAAGTTGCTTTGAGAGCATTGTTAATTATGTCAAAATCAGGCAATGAGAGACCACCTTTTTCTTTAGGGCCAATTAAGGTAGTTTGTTTTATTTTTGGTTTTTTCTTTTGCCAGACGAATTGAGTAATAGCTTTATTAACTTTTTGAATAAATGTGGGGGTGACAGTGAGGACAGCAGTGTTATAAATAAGTTTGGAGAGGGCTAGTGCTTTTAAAATGACAATTCGACCATGTAAAGTTAAGTTCCTAGGGTACCACAAGTTTAGCAAGGAAGCCATCGAGGACAGTTTCTGTTCAAAGTTCCTTTTGAAAGCAGCTTCGTCATCATAAGAGAAGTGAATACCAAGTGCAAATACAGGGTCTTTTGGCCATGCAATATCAAGAGGTTCTTCCGGGTTGTTTTTGTTCGCGCCTAGCCACAAGCCCTCTGTCTTGCTTCTGTTTACTTCAAGACCAGAGAATTTTTGAAAAGCGTGGAGCAGTTGGAAGAGGTTTTGGGCAGATGTTATATCAGAGACAAAAACAGTGGTATCATCTGCGTATTGTGAAATTTTGAATTCCTTTCCATATATGTTGATTCCTTGAATATTTGCATTAGACCTTATTGCATTGGCAAGAATTTCAGCGCACAGCACAAATAGGGAGCCGGAAAGAGGGCACCCTTGGCGAACACCTCTTTGTAGTTTAAAGAAGACAGAGGCGTAACCATTATCTACTACACAGCTAGAACAGTCAGTGTAAAAGGTTCGGATCCACTGTAGTAACTGAGGGCCGAAATTTAATGCCTCCAAGGTCTTAAAAAGGAAGTTCCAGTCGACGGTGTCAAAAGCTTTTTTAAAGTCCACAAAAATCGCCATGCCGGGAATGTTTTCTAGCTCAGTTATCTTCATGATATCGTTAATGAGTCTAATGTTCTGTCCTATATAGCGTCCCTTGACATAGCCAGTTTGGTCGTCGTTTATTAATTTGGGGAGGACTTTAGCGATTCTATGGGCTATAGATTTAGTTGCTATTTTATAGTCGACGTTAAGTAACGTTAGCGGTCTCCAATGTTCCAAATACAACCTGTTCTTGCGTTTTTTCGGTATGACCTTTATTATACCTTGTCTTTGTGTTATGTTGAGTTGTTCTACTTTATGAGCATAGTTAAAGCTTTGGACCATCTCATCACCAAGTAGATGCCAGAAGTGCAAATAGAACTCAACTGAGAGACCGTCGCTGCCCGGACATTTGTTTTTAGCACACTGTTTAAGAACGTTGAAACACTCGGTTTTCGACAAAGGCTGTTCGAGTTCATTTAGCTCGTTTTCGTCGAGTTTGACGAGGTTAGGGTCTCCCAGGAAAGTATCGCGTGCAATAATATCACAGGGAGCGCTCGTATATAAATTTTCATAAAATGCTCTCTGCATTTCCAAAATCTCTTTTTCGCAAGAAGTTTCCGAGCCAGTACTTGTTTTAAGCCTAGTTATATGAGTTTTTGCAAACCTCCTTTTCTCAAGATTTAAGAAGTATTTAGTATTCTTTTCTCCTTTTTCGTGCCAGCGTATCCTACTTCTAATCATTGCACCCTCGGTTTTATATTCAGCAATCTGATTGAGGTGAGCTCTTAATTGGTAGAGTTTAGTGATATTTTCTTTCGATCTGTTGGATTGCAGCAAGGCCATTAGGTGATCAATTTCTTTCTGAAGGTCTCGTTCCTTATTTCTTTTTATTCTGTTTTTCCTTTTTGAGTATTGTACACAGAAACCTCTAATCTCCATCTTGAGCATGTCCCAGTACAGGCCTTCATTAGTAAGGTAACAGTGTTTGTTTTTGTATTCGGGTATTTTGCTTACGAGCTCGTCAATGAAATTCAGCAAAGCGTTATTAATTTTCCAAAACCCAGGTCCACGTTTAGCGTATTCTTTCGATTGAAGAGTGAAAGTGATAGCGCTATGATCAGATATTGTGGGGTTGGTGATGTTAGTATCAATGACAGACATCAACAATTCTTTCGACACAAGCCAATAATGTAAGCGGCATTGCACTTTCAAGGAATTGTTACGCCATGTAAATTGTGTTTTGTTGGTATGTTGATTTCTCCAAATGTCATGAGGTTTAAAACGGCGGGTTAAGCCTTCAATCTCGTCAATGACTTTTTGTTTTTTTCTGAACAGTAGCACCACCCATTTTATCTGTAGGTGTTAATGGGCAATTCATGTCACCTCCCAAGATGATTTGTGCATCTGCAAATGGTAGGAGAATGTTATCAAGATTGCGAAAGAAAGCTATCTGGGAGGTAGAGCCATTTGGCGCGTAAATGTTGCTAAACAAGAAGGAAGATTCTAGCACGTTGGCTTTTAATAGCAAGTATCGTCCATTCTTATCAGCGAAGATGCTTTCTGTTTCGAAATCCAGACTCGGTTTAAATAATATCATCACACCTTTCGAATGTGTTGTTCCATGACTATAATAAATTTTCCCTCCCCATTCTGCTTTCCATATTTCTTCGACACTTTTGGAAGAGTAAGTTTCTTGTAAATAAACAACGTCGAATTTTTGATTGTGGAGCCATCTAAACACCCGCCGTCTCTTTCTAACTTGATTTAAACCTCTTACGTTTAAAGAACAAAAGGAGAGTCTAAACGGAGCAGCCGTGAATTAGCAGCGTAGAATATCAGTCTATCGGTTTCGTTGAGGAAGATATTGAAAAACTTTTCGAATGTGAGCAGTTTTGAATTGAAAGTGTACTTAATGTAAATTAAATAATAAACATTAGTAATCAGCCTTAACGCAAGCTGAAGGAGTACAAGACTAAGCTGTAGGGAGATAAATCTAAGTATATCAAAATAGATTCTAAAAATGTAAATAAAAACGGCTATACAGAAACGCTAAGACACAAAACGCACAGTTACTAGAGCACAAATTGCTCAAAGTAGGGAAACCTCTTCTTACACCTAAACGGGTTCCCTGTGAACAGTTTAATGCTAAATAAGTAGGCGCTAAGAGCGAAGCAACTCTTGGGAGCGCGAAAGGAAGCAATTATTTACAGCAACTGACTAATCATGTACCATAACTTTACCGTACAGAGGAAGATCTTTAGTTTCTTTTCCACGATAAACTTGCCCATCAATAATAAGTTTGTCGACATTAAAGAAAGCTTTTTTCTTCTGGGCTTTAGCAGCTTTCAAGATTGGGTAAAGTTTCTTGTGCATATCGGCAATTTCTTTTGGGAAGTCACTGGCAACACCGATCTTTGAGCCTTTTGGTAAGCTTCTAACGTATGAAAAAATTTGCTCCTTGTCTTGATAAAAGCTGGCTTTGGCGATTATTGGGCGCGGACTCTTAGATTTGTTGGTTTGATTAACAGCTCGGGTGTTAGAAATTCGATGAACTCTTTCGAAGCTCATATTGTTTACGTCTTCTTCAGGTATTTGAAGCTGTTGTAACAGGACGTTTCTCAACACTTGCTCGGTTTCTGCTGGAGTTTCATGTGGAGAATCTCTGACACCGTAAACTCTGAAGTTGCTTCTTCTTGACTGAGCTTCAAGACGTATGTTGCGACATACTAATTTGTCGACTTCAGCCTTCAAATGATCATTTTCTTTGCGAAGCGAAGCAGTCCCCTTTTCAGTCGCCGCGGCAGCATTTTTAATTTCTTGAATTTCCTTAGTTGCAGAATTCAAACTTTCCATTAGTTGCTTGTTTTCCTCTGTGAGTTTAGCAATTACTGATTTTAGGTCATCAACAGCTGGTTTGAGAAGATATCGTCAAGGGCTTTCAGCGTGGCGTCACCCTCGTGGTCGGGAAGCTCCTCGAGGTCGTCGTCAGTTTGAGAACCTTTTTCCCGTATTCTTTTTGCTCTTCTTCTAGAGGAAACGTCATTCTTCCCAAGCGAGTCAGTTTTGGCTGCCATTCAGTAAAAAATTAAGTGCGCAATTGAGGACATTTCTGCTACGTTTTCAATTTTGGTTAGCATGCAAAGATTTTTCCCATGCCTATCGTCAATTATTTGCTCACTGGTAATAGAGGGGGCGGCCCCAGAGTGCTTTTGCATTTAAATAGGCATGCAACATAAATTTGTATGCCCTATAAGTATATTTTGAGGTTCCGTGACCTTCCGACTAAAGAAGCCTAAGTTCTAACAAGAAATTAATACCCAGCATGCCCCGCGTGCCAAAATCTTCGGCATGCCGGGCATGCCAAATTTTCTGCCATGCCAAAATCATTCTCTGGCGTGCTCTAAACGCACAGGATAGTTCCTTGAATCTACAGCTATTTTAAGCCTGGCTAAAAAAAATCTTAAACAGATCGCCGGGCTTATCTTTTGATGTACAGGTTATAGGTCATTTACACGATGGCGTCATTGCGTCATTGCTATTCCTTTCATAAATTTGGTAAATCTCGGCGAAGTTTAAGTAACAAAGGTTCTAATTTGCACAAGAAAGTAAAAACCTGAAGGATTCTGGTCGTAGTAATAAAATAGCGTCATCGTGCAGATGAACTATTAGGGGATTGTAGAAACTCCTGCCCCCTTCTAATAGGATTCCCATTTCACATTGCGAATAAACTGGATTGACTGAAATCAGTAAAAACAGAAATAGAGACTCTTTTCATTGTATGATAAAATGCATCTATGTTTCATGAAAGCTTTCAAAAAATACAAGGTATGAGAATATCTTTCAAAGCTCATTACAAACTGAGCTAAGCTCCAAAATCAGACTGTCCATTATTCAGTACATTATGATGTTTGACAATGCAATGCGCCTGAATATAACGTTGCAATTACAAAGCTCTTTAACGCAATTGTCCCTACGTTAAAAGAGCTGTTTTTATCTTGTTTCACATTTGATAGGGTCCCTGAATTCCTCTTTCTTGTCAGGGATTATTGTATATGTGTCATCATTAGTGTTTGTGTTCTTTGTTTTAACTCAAAGTAAGTCAGCAACTGACAGTATCAAAGAATTGCTCTCTCGGAAAGAAATGATCTCCTCTTTGTCATTTCTGCACGTTATCTGTAACAAAAAAGAAATGGAATGTTAATACATGCAAGGGCAATATGACAAAAGTGAAAGAAACATCGTTTCTCATTAACCAATTTACGTAGCGTTGTTCGATGATGTTTACACGCTTTTCCACTTCGAAATAAACCTTTGCATTCGGTTTTGCAAGTCCAGATTGAGCTTGACTGGCACTTGAACAACAGTTTCATACTTTTGCAGGTAAGGTGTAGACCCATATAAACCCGGAATATGTAAAGGAAACTCAGTGAAAAGTTTTCGCATCTTTGTGACGTTATTCCCTCATGGTGCGTCAACTGATTAGGGTTTGTGAAGAAAAAATAAATTAGTACTAAAGGTTAAAGCCTGTCCTGTTTCATCATTTTACATGTTACCTAGAGTTCTAACAAATAGGCCATAAACTTTGAACAAGAGAGCTTTGAAACAGGATTTAACGAGAACGATTTTGTTACTCAATCGGTGTATAAAAAAAGTGAAACTATCAAATGAGAGGTGTATAAAATAAGCTTAGGCCCGGTTCAGACGCCAAACTTTTCATGAGCCGAACCTAATACATTGAATTAAATACATGAAAAGTTCGACGTCTGAATCACTTAGGAACGCCTCTTTCAATTTGGAACGGCTTAGCCGTTCTTTTCGCCTAGCCCGGCCGGGAATTTTGCTTTTGGAGCGACTTTTGAACGGCTTTGAGTCGAACGCCGAACTTTTCATGTACCGAACCTAAATAAGCATATTAAATTATTATGACTATAACGTATTTTGTAAGCAGTTTGAGCGAAATGAGCATTTTTCGCCTTCTGAACTTAGTTCAGCGTCTGAATCAATTCAGCCGGTCTAAATAATTTGGGTCTGCCTTAATTCGAATATTAGGTTCGGCTCATGAAAAGTTCGGCTTCTGAACCGGGCCTTAGTATGAAAATTTTTAGATTAAAAGCTCATATAATTAGGCAAATTCCCATACGAAAACAATGCTAGTGATGTCGAGTAAAAGCCTCGTTGTTTGCTTTCATTTTTGCGTAATTTTTTCGGCCCGCAAAGCAAAGTTAAAAAAGAGACAGTAAATCTTACTTTTTAACATTGAACATGTTTATTAGCTTAGTTTTGGTCGGTTTTAAAAGCTTTATAACCATATCATAATTTTTGAGTTAAAATAGTACAAAATCATTTCAAAAACCATGCTCATTAAAAGTAGATCCGGCAAACGTGAACATTTTGTAATTAAAAAATCGGACCTAGCCCTCTAGGTTGTTTGCAAGTTTAATTTGAAATTCTTATTTAAGCTTAAGCTTATTTTTAAAAGTGGTAGCGTCTTATGAATTTATCAGAACCGCCTCTAAGAGGCTTGCTGTAGTAAAGCATATTTTGTAGCACACTCGTAGACAAGCAACGTAGGGCAGAAGTCTTTGCTTGGATGAGACGTCAAAAAGAGAAATCAGTTTTCTGGACCTCAAGGCACATTCACAGACTGCTTTCAAAGCTTTATATTGAGTTATTTACAACTTTGCATTGACATCTGCAGCATGTTTATTTTTTTAAAGCGAAATCTAATCTGAATTTGGCATTTGATTTATGGATATTTTATTTTGACTCCAAAAGTGATTGTAATATAAGTATGATTATCTTTCAAACAACAGTCAAACTATGCAGCAAAATTGAAATCATCTTCAGTTCACAAATCAAGCTTACCTGAGTCCAAAAAAATATGACCGAAGGTGCCAAAAACAATTATGCTCTAGTTATAAAATTAGATCTGACTTTTTTATCGTTGATCCTAATTTTTTGAAGTTTTCTGTAGACTTCTTAACAGCAGAAGAAGACTAGGTAAGACGGACAAACAGAAACAATACATCCAAAGTGAACGAGTTGACAACCACTTATGCCTGAGAGTTCTAAGTATGCTCAACAGTAAGATAAACTGAATACCAAAAGGATAATTCACGGGATTTGTTCGATATTCAGGCTTTCTCACTACTAAATTAATACTAATTTGTACTTACAGTCTCTCGCAGAATCCATTTCTTGTCCAGCATTCACCAACATCTCGACAAGGCACCCCAGAAGAAAAAAGGAAAAACAAGTGCGAAGAGACATGACGACATCTTGACACCACAACAAAATAGATTCATCGTAATCCGAAAACACTTCGGAGGAAATTGGGCCGATTTCGCCTTGTATCCATGCGTGCTCGGGGTATCTTCGGATGAAGCAAATGACGTTGCTGCAAGGACTATCGTCAGCAAGGAGTAAAACAGTTTTGCGAGGTTCGCATAGCCCGACAAGAAGCGCACTGAAAATCTAAGCAAAATTTATCTGAGAAGGCAGTCCAAATTCACCAAATCAGAACGTCTTTGCAGTATTAACGTCGTACTCTCGTACTGACTTGAATGACCTGGTAAACTTAATTTTCACCAGTCTTTTAATGCTGTTGACAGAGAAACATTCCGACGCGATAAAACTTAAGCTTAACGCTTATGGCCGGATACGTTTATACTGAGAAGACTTGTTGTCTCATTGTTTAAAACGCTTTTCCGCGATCAAATTAAAAACTTGACCCAGAAACGTTATGGGTTTGAAATATAAGGATTAATTGATCTTTGAATGCGAGCGAAGTATTCCATTTTTTTCATGAATATTGCTGTTATGTTGTGCTTATTATATAAACCCAGTTTGATCAAGAACTTCGATCTGTCTTCAGTTTTGCCAGTCGATCCTGTGACATACATTATGATAAACAAAAATATATAAAATCTGCTTTTATTGCCAAGCATGAAACCCGTAACTTCAAGCTCCCCTGAGATATATTTGGCGATTATGTGAATGCCATGATATGGTGCTGGAGCGAACATCAAAATCAGTCATGCTGGGCATGCCATTTTCATGCCCCGCATGTCGCCCGACATGCAGGGCATGCCAAACCCAAATGGCTACACGATCGGCATGCCCGGCATACCAAACTGGATGAGTAAAAACTGGAAATTAATCATCAGCCCAGCGAGAGAGCTGGGACCGAAGTTTAGCTAGGTCAGTTTTGGGCTGCGAGGGCATGAAGGGCATTTTTTCCATGCCTATGAGATGTTATTTCTAAGAACCAATGGTCCCTCTAATTTTGTCGTGCCTTAATATATAAAATTTCGCCTCTCTCATTCTCCTCACACTGAATGCAATTTTTGCGCTCACTAGGCATGTTCAATTGAAAATCATGGCCATACACTCATTTAAAACAAAATGCTATCAAATTTTAGTTTCCAAGCCGTTGTCACCTTTAAGCGTACTTTCAAGAGAGGCGTTTATCAGATTATAATTTGAGAGACTACAACAAGCTGGAAATATCGCATGTTAAGACTACCACCTATGGTTTGCGATCGTATAGATACTTTGCTCCTCATACCTGAAATAACCTGGTTATAATCAGAATGTGGTTACTTTTAAACACAGTATCATAGATTATATTTATTAAGAGTTGTCGAATTGTCTATCTTAATGCTATTTTGTTTTGTTATTTCTTGTATCAGTGTATCACTGTTGCCAAGTATAAATTAAGCAGTTAGGTCCTTTTAAAACTTTAGATCTTTGCCGGTTTTTATATTATGGAGTTCGGAGATACTAGACTACGTGCTAGTCAACAATCCGAAGTAAAATAAAGTTATGAATGAATGAATGAACCCATGATTAAT